CCCCCACAGCACAACTATCTTGCTCAGGTCACGTCTAATATCTGGGGAACCAAATTTAAGATCGTGGGCTTGGCTGCTTTCCTGCCAACCAACCTCGGTGCAGGTAAGCACTGCATGCATCCCAGTCGAAACTCAGGCTGAGAAATCAATTTCGACCTCCAGTGGCCTAAAGTAAAACACGAGCCCTTATGACACCAAAAGATTAGCATGTACTTTACCTCCAAAGTTTAACCTCTAAGTTAGCCACCATGATTTTGTAAAAATTAGAATTATTGCTCTGATTGGGGTTTTTTTTGCCAGTGGTGCTTTCATTTTTTTCTATAAGCCCTGACTGATAAAAATGACAGAAATAACCAAAAGCTCTGACAGGTTTCTGGTTATTTTGATTTCTGGCCTTTTACCGTGGGCAGATTTTGGTACCAGTGTCTTTAGGTTCTTGAGGCAAAAGAAACTTCTGAAGAAAGTCGAGAAGAGAGCATTGGAGGCTATTAGAACACGTTGGCTGACTATAAGTACAGTTGTTAGTGGTAAGTCTTTGTAGATTTCATTTCTGAGTACCAGATGAATATCCTGTCTGTTGGAAGCTTGAGACATCGGGGAAAATGGAACCGACGGAGGACAGAGCTGGGCGAGAGCCAGAGTGTGCGTCCTCCTCGGTACCCGACTTGAGTGAGTAGCACTAATGTGTCACTATTAGTCTGGGACAGTGAGGCAGGGAAATGACAGAAGTCCTTTTCCAAGTGGCTTCCTCCTGATGGCACAGCGCTGTATGGGCTGAGTGGCTGTGTTGTCCCCCACCTTGAGGGGTGGCCTGATCATCTGACATGCACACACCTCTCCAGAAGGCCGCCTGGCCAGGCTGTGGCTGGTGGCCCCATCTTGAATATGCTCTGTGTAACCTACTAAAAATGCTTTTTGTTTTTTGTTGTTTTTAATTCTGAATCTGCCTGTTAGAGCCGTCTCAAACACAGATCCTTTAAAATAAATAGTTCTTGCAAAGCAGACGTTAAAAGATATGTTGCTGTGTATGTATCTTCAGAGGCTTATTAAGTAGTGCTGCAGGTGGATTTTTCATTTTGAAGTTATTCAGCTTAAAGAAGAGGAGGAATAAAGGTAAAATATAAAACTGACTTAGGAAATAAGAGTAGACTATCCCTGTACATAATGCAAAGAAATCTCTTAGGGTATTTTCCACAACCTGGACACCCTCTGAAGACCACAAAAGCCTGTTCTTCAGTAATTCAGCAGTGCGCTGCTGGTGTACGCAGGGTTCTTATACCACTGTGTGAGGGTTGTGACCATCCCCATGTCAGTAAGCTGAGATCTTAGCCATCTGCTGACTATAAACGTTGAAAAAAGGAATGAAAGTGAGAATTTACTTACTGGACCTTTTCATTCTGTCTGCCCTTATTTCTTGGACGTTGAGTAGATCCGCGAGTGGGTCAACGAGACCTTAAGATGGGAGGGCCCGTAAGTGCCTTTGAGGCCCGTGCTGCTGCAGTGTGAGGAATCTGAGTGCCCGAGACCAAAGCCTTCTGTATGACTGTGGTGAAATCACTGTCCTAGTCATTGACCTTTTTAAAAAGAGGGTTTTAGCTAGTACCATACGTCAAGCGAAGAGAATTTTCCATTTGATTCTACTAGAGAGAAGAAATTAACTCTTGGATTTTAGAAGGTATATTACATACGGGCACCCTATTAAATACTCTGGTAAGCCTACCAGTGCGGATGGAAAGCAAGAAGTCTGTATGGCCTGGCCTGTGGTTATTAAAAGAAAAAAAAGTGAGTGCTGTTGGTTACTTTATATTGGATAATTGGATAATAATTTGTTTCTATTAGAATGATCTGGCCTGTGAAATTTTCTATTTTTAATTTTTTACATTTCTTAATTTTAAAAATATGGAATAAATTCAAAAGATTTAAAGGAGTATAGTTAAGCTGTCTCGTCCTCACCCCCAGCCACCTAGTTTTTTTTTCCCCCCTCTGGAGGCAACTGATGTTATTTCTTAATCCCTCCTGGGGTTTTTAATTTTATTTCTCTTTGTCAATCTGAATGACAAAGCATAGCACTTTAATGCATTAATTCTTAAGCTATATGGCCATCCAGAGTTTTTAAGCCGAAATTCATATTCTCTTCTATGGGCAAGGGAGATGAAAAAGACCTGTAAGGACTGCCGGGTTGGAAAAATCATCTTAGCCCACGCCAGTCCAAGCACGCACCTTACAGAGGTGCTTCAAAAAAGGAAGTCTACTGCGCCCTGGGGCTGCTGGCCAGTCAGCCACCAGGCTGTTGGAGGTGACTGCTGTGGAGATAGGGTTTGGCTTATCTTAACACAAAACTTAAAATAGTAATAATTAAAGCAACTCTACATATGTCACAGGAAAGAGTATAAAGGGAAAGTTGACGGGGCAATTTCATCCTGATTCTCATCTACCGTGAAACTTAAACTCAGATTCATTATTTTTTTCAGCTTATTTTGTCTCTAAATATTTTAGTTGCAATCTAGGCCTTCTCTTAAATGTCCCCATTAATCAAAGTAAACCTTAGTATTTAAAGAAGCATGTGGCAGTTCCCCGTAAGTGTCTATCCTGATCATGAAACTGAAATAGAAAGTCAGTAAGATTTCAGTCCTGAATAAAAGCAGCATTTTATTCCTACCTGAGTCACGTCACCCCTTCTGTCATAGTTGCCTTCAAACAGCTCCTTGATTGCCCGAGATTCCCCTGAGCTCGGCACTCTGGTTATCACAACTATTTTCACTAAATTATCTTTCTGATTGCAAATGAGATTTAAAAATATATATATATTTATCATTCCCAGCTCATTCCAAAAAAGAGTGTAAGTTTTTGACATTTAAAATGTGTGGTTCTGTAGACAAACCACTGGCAGAGTGGCCGGGCTAGACCGAGAATTTGTTGTCACTGAATCTGCACTGCGTCCAGGGTGGCGGGTCGAGCGCCAGGGGGAGATGTGCAGCTGCCCTCAGGCTCTCAGCCCGCCCGCACAGATCTGTCTTCTTAGGGCAGGGACACCGCAGCCCCATTTCTCTCCCCGTGAGGGACTCTGCTGGCACCCTGGCTGCCCTCTGCGTGTCTCTGTTGACCGTGCTTTCCTCCTCCTCCCCACCAGTAATCTATAAAACCAGCCTCCTGCATCTCCAGCCGCGGCAGATGACCATCTATCTCCCGGAGGTTCGGAAGATTTCCATGGACTTTGTTAATTTACCTGTCTTCAACCCAAATGTGTTCAGTGAAGATGAAGATGATTTACCAGGTGTGTTCACGCATGTCAGCTGGTTTGTCACGAGCCCACACCCTCTCTTAGTGGGTCGTGCTGGGGGACAGAGTGGTAGTAGTTGAGGATTACAGCACGTCAGCCTGTGCCTGCTGCCTCAGTAAGGTTGGAAGGCATGTGAGGTGTCATGGCAGAAAGGTCACATACTGTCACTAGTTTGGGGAGGAGGGGAGTTGCCAGAGCAAGGACGATGGAGGTGGAGGTGGCTGTGAGCGCTGCTGCCACCTCGTCTCACCCTCAGGGTGATCCTCCTAGTCACGTGCCTGCATAAAGAGAAGTTAACGGGACCAGTCAGACATCAGAAACGAAACCCTGTCTCACAGACCCTAGGCCAGCCCTCGTCCTCTCTGTCCCTGCTTAGAGAATGACGTCACGCAGATGACCCTATGCCCACGAAGCCCGGTTTCTCAAACCTGCCCCGTCTCCCGGGCAGAAAACCTGTGCATTTCAACGTCTCTCTCTTAAGTGCAGTGCAGGTCTCCATGCATAGAACAGAAGCCTGGTGTGGTGTGAGTTAAAAGTAAAATCTGGTACAAGGTTTTAAAATCCCAGTTTACAGATTTTGAAATATCTATAGCATCTTAGGTTAATTTAAGTGCTTTCTAGTCAGGGGGTCCTATGTTGATTAACAGACTAGAATGAATTCTAATTAGTCTTCCAATTATTGTCTGTGACTATTCTCAAAAAAAGTCCACCTGCAACAGTTTCATAAACACAGAGATTCCTCTACTTACAACCAAGCAACGTTCTGAAAGTCTCTGGTTTCTGAGCCAGTCTCTGGTTTCTGCATGGGCCACTGACTTTTCCTGTACCTGGTCATTCTCAAACAGAAGGGCTCTAGTCTCGCCATGGGATGGGCTAGACACTGATCCCAGCTCAGGCTCTGAACGTGAGGGAGTTGTCTGCCTTCTCTCAGCCCAGGTTTTTACCTGTAAAATGACTCTGCTTTCTGACAGTAGCCGCCTTTGGTCCTCTGACGGCTTACCTCTCCTCACGGGTGGAGCAGATGTTCTGGACTCACGTGGTCCTTATGGGCAAGGTCTTGCAACCGTGTTAGCCTGCGGTTTGGTGAGGCTGCACACCCTTGAGCGTGTAGCCTGTGCCCTGCTGGTTCACAGCCTTGGATCTGGGAGTATCTTTTACACTTCTCCTTATCGCCTTCCATTCTCCCAGAATGTGACTGATAGAGCTCTCTCTAACGCTCAGCTGTTGTAATCGTCTGTGGTTCCCTGTGGAGGAGGGAACGTTTGGTCTCAGAGTTTAAACTCAGTGCTTCGTGACGCGACAGAGACTCTCGTCTCGTTCAGCGGGGAAGACACCTGTCGTCAGTATTCCATACCGAGGAGAGAACATCTGGAAGAGGAAGCTGAACAGGAATAGTGGAAAACTTGGGACAGGGCCCAGATTCGTGCAGCCAGGAGATAGTTACCGCTCACGAGAGGACCCCCTGGAAGGGGAGAGTCTGTTACAGGCGCTGAGGGTGGGCTTAGCTTTATCATGAACCAGCTGGTTTCGTTCTGAAGTTCTGGTGAACGGTCAGCCAGCCTCTGCAATTAGCCTGTTAAATTCTATTTCCTGCTCGGATACTGGTTGCCACACAGCACTTAGAGGCCCACATGAGCCAGCTTGCTGTGCTTGGTGAGCACTTCAGACAGGGCAGTTCAGACAGTGGCTCTGAGCACGTGCACGTGGTCTGCAGATCATCGCTCAGATAATACACTTTATTAAATCCCCACTGTGTACAAATAGGATATATTTACAGGGTTTATTCAATGGGGCTCACCTTATATACCATTTGAAATGCTAAAAAGCAGCTAAATTAGGAAATGACCCTTCCCCTCATATGCAGATTTGCTAGAGGAGTCTTTTCATTGGTTTCTCTACTGCATTTAACATGGTTCTATTTACAGAAACTTAATTGCTGTACAAATCTCAGGCACACACCTGCTGCATGACACTTCCCACACTAACCAGTCCGTGACCCTGGATGAGTCCACTCTAAAGAAGCCTAGGCACTGAGTCCTCAGTGGAGTTTCATACTGTACCAGGGCCCTCTTCTTGCACAAAAGAGGGGGCCGTTTTATGAATATCACAAGTTAAAAGCATCTTTTAAACACTTAATCGTTTGCCATGGTGCCACTCAGGTACATGGTACCAAATTCAGAAGGTTCAGAGGTATTTATTGAAAAGCTCTGGCAGTGCCCTTAGCTTACGGACGACTGCAGGCTGCCCTGAAGAACCCACTGGGATTGCCTGTGTGTCCTTCTAGAAACATTTAGGGAAGTGTTGTGTAACTTGTGTGAACTGGCCAGCTTTCCCTAAGCAAACACACCTTCCTCTGTAGCGACTGCATTCTGTATGCAGAAGGACTGGATGAGTAGAGGTGTGTTGCTTATTCTGAACCAGTTTCATGGCAGTGTTTTGTTTGTAAGCAGTTCATCTTTCTAATTTCCTTTCAGTGACAGGAGCATCTGGTGTGCCCGAGAACAACCCACCGTGCACCGTGAACATCCCCATCGCCCCCATCCACAGCTCGGCTCAAGCGATGTCCCCCACGCAGAGCATCGGGCTGGTGCAGTCCCTGCTGGCCAACCAGAATGTGCAGCTGGACGTCCTGACCAATCAGACCACAGCCGTGGGCACAGCCGAGCACGCAAGCGACAGCACCGCCCAGTACCCAGTGGCCAGCCGCTACTCCAGCCCTGGCCAGGTGATCTTCGGGGGCGTGGAGATGAGCCGCGTCGTCCCCAACCCCCCTCAGCTGTCCCTGCCGCCGCCAGCACAGGGGGCCATCCAGCTGTCCGTGCTGGACCACGGGGACCGAGACCACGAGCACCTGCAGAAGCCAGCCAAGGCCCTGCGGCCGGTGCCACAGTTGGCTACCGAGGGGGACGCGGTGGTGTTCAGCGCCCCCCAGGAGGTCCAGGTGGCCAAGATGAACCCCCCACCCCCCTACCCGGGAACCATCCCCGCGGCCCCCACCACCGCGGCGCCGCCGCCCCCGCCCCCGCCCCCGCCGCCCCCGCTGGACACGTGCTTGAAGAAGGGCGACTTCTCGCCCTACCCCGCGGCGGCGCACTACCAGCCGCCCCTGGGCTACGAGAGGATCACCACCTTCGATAGCAGCGGCAACGTGGAGGAGGTGTGCCGGCCCCGGACGCGCATGCTCTGCTCCCAGAACACCTACGCGCTCCCGGGCCCGGGCAGCTCGGCCACGCTGAGGCTCACCGCCACCGAGAAGAAGGTCCCGCAGCCCTGCACCAGCGCCACCCTGAACCGCCTGACGGTCCCGCGCTACTCCATCCCCCCGGGGGACCCGCCCCCGTACCCGGACTTCGCCGGCCCGCTGGGCGCCCCCGGCCGCGGCGCGGGGCAGAGACCCGACGGCGGCCTCATCCACGCCACGCTGCGCAGGAACAACCGCGAGGCGGCGCTCAAGGCGGCGCCGCTGGCCGAGCCCCCGCGGCCGCCGCCGCACCCGCCCAGGCCCAAGGGCGCGGCGCAGTTCCCGGCGCGGCCCCCGCCCGCCCTGTACACCTGCAGCCAGTGCAGCGGCGCGGGGGCGGCGGGGAGGCCGGAGCCGGGCGCGGGGTCGCAACCGGGCGCCGGCCTGGCGCACGCGGCCGGCACTTCCCCGCTGACTTCCCAGTCGTCCTACAGCCTCCTGAGCGCGGGCGATGGCGCCCGCGAGCGCGCCGACTACGTCAACTCGGCCTTCACAGAGGACGAGGCGCTGGCCCAGCACTGTCAGGCCGAGAAGCCGCTGAGGCACCCCCAGCTGAGCGAAGCCGCTGTGGCCGTGAAGCGGCCGCCCCCCTACCAGTGGGACCCCGTGCTGGGGGAGGATGTTTGGGTTCCTCAGGAAAGGACAGCACAGACCGCGGTGCCCAACGCCCTGAAGCTGTCCCCTCTGATGGTAGGTCAGAGCCAGCACCTGGATGTGTCCCGAGTGCCCTTCGTCTCCCCCAAGCCTCCCGCCAGCCCTACTGCCACTTTCCAGACAGGCTATGGCATGGGAGTGCCCTATCCGGGAGGCTATAACACCTCCGCTTTGACGGGGGTGCAGGCTCCCTGCTCCCCGAAAGACGCTCTGGCCCCAGCGCAGTTTGCACAACAGGAGCCCGCGGTGGTTCTTCAAACGGCCTACCCGCCCAGCCTCTCCTACTGCCCCCTGCCCCCCATGTATCCGGGAAGCAGCGCCTGCTCGAGTTTACAACTGCCACCCATCGCCTTGCACCCCTGGAATTCCTACAGCGCGTGCCCGCCCGTGCAGAGCCCCCAGGGCGCTCTCCCCCCCAAGGCGCACTTGGTGGTGGAGAAGCCCCTCGTGTCCCCGCCGCCCACGGACCTCCAAACCCACCTGGGTACAGAGGTGATGGTAGAGACTGCAGACAACTTCCAGGAAGTCCTCTCCCTGACGGAGAGTCCAGTGCCCCAGCGGACGGAGAAGTTCGGAAAGAAGAACCGGAAGCGGCTGGACAGCCGGGCCGAGGAGGGAAATGTTCAGGCCGTCACTGAAGGCAAAGTGAAGAAGGAGGCCCGGACTCTGAGCGACTTTAATTCCCTGATCAGCAGCCCCCGCCTGGGGAGAGAGAAGAAGAAAGTGAAGAGTCAGAAAGACCCGCTCAAGTCGAAGAAGTTGAATAAGACAAATGAGTTCCAGGACAGTTCGGAGAGCGAGCCGGAGCTGTTCATCAGCGGGGACGAGCTGATGAACCAGAGCCAGGGCGGCAAGAAGGGCTGGAAGAGCAAGAGGAGCCTGAGGGCGGCCAGCGAGCTGGAGGAGTTCAAGTGCAGGAAAGCCAGCGAGAAGGAGGACGGGCGGCTGGGCAGCCAGGGCTTCGTGTACGTCATGGCCAACAAGCAGCCTCTCTGGAACGAGGCCACCCAGGTGTACCAGCTGGACTTCGGGGGGCGGGTGACCCAGGAGTCGGCAAAGAACTTCCAGATCGAGCTGGAGGGGCGGCAGGTAAGAAGCCATGTGCTGGGGTGTGGCCAGAGTGCCACTTTCTGGTCCTGACAGGTCTCTGGACTCTGGCCTTTTTCAGAAGGCCAGATGGGAAAGGTGGGAAACGGCTGATGACTCTTAGCTGCGGCCGGTCGGGCTTGTAATTTTCAGTGTGCCTGTTGCTGTCTTTTCTTTATTTCTCCCCAAGGTAACGCATGCCCTGATTTT